AAATGGGCCTCCCAAGCTCAAGGCTTGGGAGCCCAGCCCGTATTTTCTCTATAAATACTCCCTTTGGGAGTAGTTATAGGGGTTACAAATTCATTCTATTGAAGCATATTATTGCACTTCTCTCTCTAGCTCTCACTTCTCTCTAGATATACTCTATCAGTTTCAATCCTCCAATTAGGTCGTTGTTGGGATCCATTGAACTCTGATATAACTCTCTTCCTACTTATATTTTCCTTAGCACTTGGTTATCATAATATCATCTCCTGGTCTTACTCCTTCGTATGTGGACATCATTTAAAACAAGATAAAAGCAAGAAGGATTTTAATGATCCCATAACAAATTTAAAAGACCACAAATCACAATATCGTCAACTAGAAATAAAAGTACAAGAAGTTCATAATTATAGTGTTTGGTTTTTCATCCATTTTAGGGTGTGTATGGCTGGCTCACCACAAGGGAGGAGGGAGATTTAGATTTTTCATGATACTATCGGTATTAGATTATTATGAATCCATTTGGTAGTTCCTATTTTCGACTTGTCTGTCAATTTTTTCTGAATACGTAGCTTTTGACAATCAAAATAAGTCAATATTATATATTAAATACAGAGTCAAAATTTCACCAATTTAAACAAATTGAACTGACTTTAATGTTATCAAATGTGTCATATGTTTCAGAAAAAGGTGTGCATCCAAATATTAGAGTACTGAGTACATACCATGCAACTCGCTTAGAGTGAAGAGTGTTGGTGAAGAAAATCATACGTGAGCAATACTTGAAAAATCTTTGATACTAATTAGTTAATTACCTTTATACAATGAAAGTATCAACAAGAAGTCTACAAGGACGTTTTGATGTTTTTTGTGTTATAATGTTTTGTTGACTACAAACATTGGAGAATAAGGGTTTGAGACTGAGTCGAAGTGAAATTGAATATATAGAGTGCAAGCTTGGTAGAAGTAGGAGTAGTGGTAACCATGGGATTATCCTATATGGTAAGGAGATACCGGTCAATGACATGTTCAATTACTTGAATTTCATCATTCAGAAAAACGATGAACTAGATGAAGATGTATCCCATATAATTAGAACATAGTGGATGAAATTGAAGAGTGCGTCAAAATTTTTATGTGATCGCGATATGATGACTAGATTGAAGAGTAAATTTTATCAAATAGCAGTTAGGCTTGTATTACTATATGGCGCAGAGTGTTGGGCGGTTAAACAAAATCACATTCAATTCAAAAGATGAATGTACATGGTCAAGATGCACATGTTCCATTGATGATAAGATGTGGGAGTCTTGATTGTAGTGGTTTGTTCATGTACGTAAAAGATTGAGTGATGTACTTGTTAGACGAGTTGGGGTGTGGAGAAGAGGCGGGGAGGAGAAGGAGAGGAAGAGAAAGATTCCAACAAACGTGAATTGGGTGAGTCAGAAGTGATATTCTTATTCTACCTTTTCTCTCTTTTTTTCTTTTATCATTTATCTTCCTTATCTTTTTATATTCTTATGTTATTTTTATCTTTTAGCTTTTTTATGCTCTTTTATTTTTTATCTTTTATCTTTCTTATATTCTTGTGTTATAGTTATCTTATATTTATTTATCTCTATTTTATTCATTTTATCCTACTTTTTTTTCTTCTCTTTCTTGTCTATCTTCTCATGTTGACATCGATATCATAGATCGATTCATGTTAGCCGACCCCAAATTCTTTTGGGATTAAGGCTTGGATGTCGTTGTGGATGAAAGTATTGCTCCGGAGAGAGCAATGTGGAAGGCAAATATTCACACGGCGGGTTGATTTCTTATTATCTTTTTCATCCTTTTATCTTCTTTATCTTCCAATCAGGGGTGAAGACAGGGGGGCTGGCGGTGACCACGGCCCCTGCAAGAAAAAAATTGTGATGTATTTATATATGTATAAATATTTATAAGTAGTAAAAAATATAGTGAAAATTTAAGTTTTGGCCCTTCATATATAAATTCTTTAAGCCCCGGCCCCTGTAACCTGTCAATCCTTGCTCCGCCACTGCTTCCAATGGTTTTTTATCCTTTCATAATTTTTTATATATTCTTTTTATCTTATCATATTTATCTCTCCCTAATATTTATCATTGTATCCATTGCATCTTTGTAATTTTTTTATCATACCTTAACTTTTTATCTTTCTTTTCCTTTTAACTCCGATATAATGTACTCAGTATCAATTTGTATTAGTCAATCCCAAAATATTTTGACTAAAGTGATTGTTGATTTGTTGTTGTAATGTTTAGTTGGGGCCTTGAAGGGGAAGTGTGTTTAAAAGCAACTTTGAGTTTTGAAATGTTCAAATATCATCTCAAAAGCCTTTTCAACCACTCTCCATAATCAGATGTTAGAAGTCGAGACAGGGACCGATCCACTCTGTCACTCTGTGTAATGGAGGCACTTGCTCCCAGTAAATTTTCCATTTTCAATAGCAATTTTGGTGATTTTCTTTGTAAGTAGGAGATTGCCCCCATAAAAATTTGAAGTTGCCCCCAACAATATAATTAGTGTCTATAATTATTTAATACTATCTATGAAATAAGTTGAACTCAACTAAACACTTAAAATTTTCCTAAGAATAAAAAGTGTTTACATTTAACTTCAAGGGTTATTGGATACAAGTTTATGTAATTATGTATATAAGTTAGTTAATTGTCAAACATACACAAGTTTTGGCATCTAGAATTTAAATTGGCAAAGTGCACATACATAAATTTTAATTGTCCACTTTTTTTGTTTTGTTTATTCATTAGAGTTCGATGAATTTCCAAACTTAATAAAACTTATGTATCACAATTATTTTAATAAAATTCATTTGTAAAATCCAAAACAAATTATTTCAAAATAATATTATCAGTCATTTATAGTTAAAAGAACAAAAGTGCATCTCTTCTTTGAACAATACTAAATTATTAAGTATGCAAAATATTTATTATCACATTATTGAGTTTAGATTAAATCATACTCCATATATGAGGTTAATTTTTCATTTTCTAATAAGTACGAGTTGAATTGTATACATTGTATACAGTTGAAGGGGTATATATGAGATTTTGCCTGCCGATAAATTTTTTTTTGGATCCACCACTGAGTGAAGAAAGTCACATCTCTGAAACTGATTCTAAGTATTTAATGTTAATGCCCAAATATTTCCTATTAAATACATGCATACTATTTTGTCATAATGTCACTTAAATTTCTTTTCTTGTCACTTCATACTATGGATGGACTCGGGCCGGGTGGCCCGACCCGGAACCGGCCCGGGACCGGTACTGTTCCGGCCCAGCCCGGCCCGACCCGGTGGCCCGGTCAGTGACCGGTCCGGGTAGGCCTGGTCTGTGGGTTTTCCGGTCCGGGCTCGGGCCACCCAAAACAAGGCCCGACCCGGCCGAGCCCGGGCCCGGTTCGGGCCAAAAACTATTTTTTTTTTCAATTTTTTTTAAAATTTTCGGGTTGGGCTAGGTAGTTTGGGCCATTTGGGGTGGTTTGGGGGGTTGGGAGTGGGAGGGGGGTTAATTAGGAAGAGAAAAAGTGGAAAACAAATATATATATATATATATATATATATATATATATATATATATATATATATATAATAGGCCCGGCCCGGCCCGGAGCCGGTGGTTACCCGGGCCGGTCCCGGGTCCACCATTTCTGACCCGCCGGCCCGCCCGGGTCTAGGCCCGGACCCGAGTCCATCCATACTTCATACAAGTTAGGGGGTGTTTGGAACTAATTCTGATTCTACTTCTTTTTTAAAGCAGAAGCAGAATCAGAATCAGTTTTCAGAAGCTGGTCACCCACAACTTCTAAAAAAACTGATTCTAGGAGTAAATTAGAACACCAGAATCACTTCTTCACTTTTACCCAAACACTCCAACTTCTGCTTCTGCTCCCTGAAGAAGCAGAAGCAGTTTTAAGAATCAAATCCAAACACCCCTTATTCAACAACCCAGAAGTGATTTTCCTAGGACACAAGCAGTGCCAAACACAATAAAAGGGTTTGATCAGTTTCTCATACAATAATTTGTACTCTAATCTTGTTGTAAAGAAGAAACAGATTCAGAACAAATGCCAAACATCCCATAATTATTATGGATGGTGCACGCAAGGATTCAAAATGTTATCATTAGTCTAGACTATAATTCATCCCATACCAGACTAAAACAAACAAGACCAGACCAAACCATATCATACTTTATTACGCATGTACGGTACATTTCTTTACGTAGGCAAATAAAATAATGCCACATGGACATTAAAATTCATATATATTTTAATTATTTCCATGTGCTACAATATTATTGGTCCACGTACGGTACAATCAAATTAAAGGGTGCACCGTAGAACTCCCCTTATTAGGAAAATTATTAATACTATTACTAATATTACTACTACTACTACTACTACTACTACTATTATTATTATTATTATTATTAGTAGTATTGTTATTGTTGTTATTATTAATACTTATGCTATTTTATTATTGTTCTATATTTGTATGATCTGCTTCGGTCTTGGATTGAAATCAATCCAATTAAAACGATAACAATTTTCGATAATTTGGAAGGAATATTATTATTTTTAATTATAAATGAATAAAACATAATTATTTATGGATTATAATATATAAATAAAATAAAATCTTTAGGCAAAAATATAAAAAATAAAATTTCAGACCAGACCAGAACAAAACAGACCAGTTCAGACTAAAACAGACCAGACCAGACCAGCAAATTACAGTCCAAGTCAAAACATCCTTACACTATGGGTTTGATCATCATAGTATTATCTTACGAATCACAGGGTAGGAACTTTGTGATGGAACTCAAAAGCCCTCAAATCACTTTTTTATGTTCTTAGGAATGGAACAATACAGTCCCTGGCAATGGAATCGCTGAAAAAACATGACATCCTGAGATCCAAAGAACATCAACCAATAGTTCAATACCTGTTACTGTATTTGTTTGGAAATGAAAACTCGAGATAGAAATATTGTTCCTGAAATCTTCTTGTGAGAATCAGTACACACTATTCACCAAAACCAAATTAAAAATTAGAGGGAAATTTCTTTTTTTTTAAACATTTCTTTATTTCTTTCCAGGAAGTGTAGGATTTTACAGAGAAAAATAGTAATAGCAAAAGCATGGTTTTTACACAAATTTGCACGCTAACCACCTATCCGACTATGCCAACTTGATTGGATCATATTTCTCACCCATTACCCCACCCTTTTGTTTTTGAAATTGAATATACCGCAATGTGCTGGCAAAGAAAGGGTCATAAGATGGATTAGCTGTCATGTTGTCATTCTCCATCTCTGCTTTAATCAACTCAATAAGGCTTTGAATTGCGGCAGAGGTGATTTGAGGATTTCCCTTTTCAAAATAATAGAGGTACCTGGAACACATAAAATGGAGGTTTAGCATCAGTTGGGGGGAGATTTTTGGAGGGGTTTTAAAGGGCTTATTCGATGTTTGAGATTTTATAAAAAATGAACCATGAAACATTTCAATCACATTTTTGTTTTGTTTTCAAAGTACTATATATATCAAGATATAAGCTAAGCCTTACATCCAAACAGATTCTGGGGGTCATTTTGTGAGTTGATTTTTGGAGGTTTTGAGGGCAAGTGTATATCTTCAATCTGGATATATTTTAAGATTTTATGAAAAATGAAAGAATAACGTAACTAACGATATAACAATATTTTAATCACCACTATTCGTTTTTGAAACATTCTATTTATCAAGAAATAGACTGAGCCATCCAGGCTTACCCTCCAACCCCCTCCATCTGAACAGACTATTAGAGTATGGAAATGCAGCCTAAACTGAGAAGAATTCAGAAGTTGATAATGCTTGCTGCAGCGATTGTCTTACTTGTTAAGAATTTCAACAAATAAAGTGACAGGCCCACTACTGCCTCTTGTAACATTTGCCATCTGCTGAGCAGCGTTCGCAATTCTCAAAGACCGCTTTAAACATAACAAAACCCTGTAATGAAGAGAACATTGGGTATTTGAGTGTATGTAGCAAGGGACATCAATCCAGTAGCAAATACTTCCTGTCCCAAAAAGTCTTATTTGACCAATGTACTCGATGTCTTTAAATTTGCTTATTGGTTTAATTTATCTGTGACTCTTTTTTAGAGGATTTTGATAAATAACATAAACAAATAGCTTCATTTGATCAACCTAGACAATTTTTATAGCAAAAAACGAGTTTTGAACATGGCTCCTTTTTGGAGCAGAGAGAGTAACCCTTTTAATAGAAAGTTCGTCAGTCTATTCTAAAATTTGTACTATATCAGATAAATTCAAACCAGAATACTCTTAAAGGCCTAACCTTTCACCATCTTTGATTCCATCTTGGTCATCAAGCCAAAAGAGATGCGAACAAGCATAAACTGCTCTGCACTGATCAGGTTTCTTCAGAAGCTTTGCTGAATACTAAACCACAATTGAATGAAACTTTAGACAGAGACAGAGGGAGAAGGAGGGAGAGATCTTAAATTATGTAGTTTTACTACCCCAGTGGCTTTGTGAGTTAAGGTATCCCTGTTTTCAACACCAAAAACATTCATCCTTTGAAGAGTTCCAATAATTAAGTGGATAGCAGTCACTTGCGCTTTAGAATCCTAAAAATGGAAAGGGCAGGATCAGAACAAAAACAATGCCATATCACCATTAGATTACCTCATTACACTCAAATATATTCAACCACAATGCACTCTTCTGAGTAATTAACTAATTACCGCAACTTCTTCCTCATATAACACAAATGCTTGAGTGAAATATTCATAGGCAACTGGTTCAAGATCACAGTCATTGGCAGCCTGAAGATTGAAACAGTTTTTTTAAATCAATATAATGAAACCAACATTTCAAATAATTTCCAGTATGAAATCTTCTCTCATTCAATTATGGAAGCCCTAAATTAAAAATGCCAAGATGCATTGTTAAAGGAATAGAAACATTGATGTTAGTAGAATAAAAATGGCAATGTCAAAGCCATATTCACTATGTCAGCAAAAGCCACAAACTACGCAGATCCTCGTGAAAGAAAAAATGTTAAACAGACTGTTCAGTTATCCAGGCTACCAGATATTCTGGCTGAGTGCATATCAGAAACATATAAAGAATGTTTCTCTATGAGCAACGTATGTGTTTTGAGAAAACATTAAGAAGTTGTAAGTTGAGAGTTTATAGCAAAATGTAGTTATTCAAGACATCGTTTTACTCATACGTGCAAATTCATAGATGACCCTTGAATAAAATATAGCAAAACATAGGTAAATTAAGTACCTCCGCGCACTGCAGGTACAACCTCAATGCCATTTCAGGAGATGGAACTGCTGAGAGAGTCTCAATGGTCTGGATGAAGAAACATAATTAACAAACAATTGTTTGAAAAAGAAAGATGAAAACAAACAAAAAGAGATGGAAACAAAGAATTTTAAGGCTCTTCCAAGCATTTCTCCTTCGCATTTGCTAGAAGATAGGTGCATACGATAAAATGGTTAGAAGAATCAATGCTATAGCATCAGGGAGTCATGCTAGAAAAGGCAAGGAAATCTGCACTGCAGCAACAATGCATACATAAACATATATAAAGTGCCTGATGGTGGGTTTAAAAGATCAACCAACAAAAGCAAGATCACAAACTAAAGTTTCAAATGAAGTATCACACTCCTTGACCATGATTACAAAACACTTTGAGGGTGAATGTAATTTGAGTAAATACAAGCATTCCAAGATGTTTGCCAAATCTGAACTCCATTACCTGACTCAACAACTGAAAAATGTTATTGGGTGTGGCAGGAACCTCTTCTCCAACTATGTCTCCATCCTGAACTTGTAATCTTCGTATCAACTACATGTCAAAAAAACAAAATGCAATCCTTAAACCTGTTTCCCCCAAAAGTGCCCTTACACTCAACAACAATTAATAACAATAACAATAATATAATAGAATTAAAAAGGCTGCAGACAAAGTTGCTTCCAAATATGATTATAAGTATGATTATCCTCAGATTTCAGTTATGTAAAAAATGCATGTGCAATTAAACTCCTAAATCTTTCAGTGATACTTTTGCACACTAGGATGAAGTATGATGTAGGACACTATGTCTAATGAGACTTTTTTACTGCTGAAAGTCCTGAAACACATTTAAGTATTACTGTACTACTGCACAACTCCTAACAAGAATGGGCCTTCACAAGCTCTCACCCTCCCAAAGGAAAAAGATACATTGAACAAACCTTTAATGCAGAAAAAACTAATGGAGGAACTGTAAATGGCAGGCGCTTTGGACCTCCAGCCAAAATATGCTTTCTCAGAGTGCATATTATCTGAATTTACAAAAATAATAAATGATTAAATAAATGCAGAAGAATCTATCAATGAAGAACAGACATTTCCTAATGCGTCTCCTCTCAAAATTTAATTATAATCTAAAACAAAACGGTGTGTTAAATGTGGTGAAACAGATTACGATTAATGAAGTGCCAAGAAATGTGCTTGACTACATAGCTCAATTTCAATAAAAGGGTGAGTGAAGAGGAGACACATCACACATAAAATATGTGCTACAGTGTCCTCTTTCAATTTTCCCTTGTTTCCCAGTTTTTTTATGTGTTCTATGTTTATCATCTTCTAGTTTGGTAAAAACAATTATCAGCATCTACCTCCAAACAAAAAAAGCTATGATTAGTGAATGGGTTAGGAAAAAGATTAGGGAATGCAATGGAATTGAATTCAATATCCTCTCCATGGGCCACAGTTTCCAACAATGAAGGTCATCTAAAGGTATTAATTTTCATTAGATTTATTAGTCATTTTTATGGCATTTCTAACCCTTCCACTAAGTGGCGTTGCATAATTTCCTAAGTTTGGGGTGACAATCACTGATTTAGGGAGCCATGGAAGTGGTCTTTGTAGAGTTGGGTGATAGGACAAAAATTGGAAAACTACTTCCCATTTTTCATATTTCAAAAAATGTGAAGTAAACACATTTTGTTTTTTACCATTCTCCAAGTTTCAGAAAGAAAAAGAAATTGCAAATGCTTCTTATCAGCAAACGGCCCCATAAAGTTACTATTTTGTATGATATTGAAGTAGTGAAAATACATTTTGCATCATAATCATCATTCATCACTCCTGCAGAGGAAGTACAACTGCATAGAAAGAGTAATTACCTTTAACATCTCTCTGGGATCATCATTATACAACATGTGTAGTAGTCTAGCAACAGAATTCTGTTCCTCCTTGAAATCCTCCTCATCCAGCTGTTAACCAACACAGCACCAACATAGAACAAGCCATTTATTCAGAGCAGCTAATAAAAAATATCACAATTTTCGTGGGTAATGGGGGGAGGATAAATTAACTAGGGGTGGAAATTGATGGATTGGATAAAACTGCATTCCGATAAAATTCATTAAAAGAATCTGATTCATCTATGATCCATTGACAAATTTTCACAGATGGATATCCTGGGCATCAATATTCTTTTTGTCTTCTCAATGTGTATAATGATTGAGCAATGCGTATGATGATCCCTTTTGCAGATATAGATTGTATTTCGGATGAATTATTTAGTTATTTTCAAAGAACAAGTATTTTTTAAAGAAAGATAAGTACTTCAAAGAAGTTTTTGGCAAGGAAATGAAAAGTACTTGTACTCCATAGAAAACACTTGTTTTTGCTTATACCAGGTTGGAGCTTATTAAAGCAAGAACACTTTGAAGGGCTTAGATGAGAAAGCACTTCCTAAAAACACTTGATGCATACTCATCCTGAACATGCTCAGAACAATCAGATGGTAATCAGCAGCAAATCAATAATAAGTAGAGAACATTCGATAGGTCCAATACTCTCATAAACCAGAGGGCATTTTAAAGATATGATCCAATGGATTAAAAATCATTAAAAAATAAAAAAAATGAATGAATCATATTGGAAAAGGCTTGTAATTTCTCAATGTTATTCTCAGCATGTGCAGCAGATACAACAGTTTTCTCAATGTATACGACTGTACACAGTCATTCACATATTGATACTTAGCAAATATAGTAAGAAGCAGTTAAATAAATCATTAATGGATGGGGGCAGTCAATACATTCATAGATCAATCCACTGTTTTAAACTTTAAAACGGATAGACCGAATGGATTTAGTTCAACTTTAGATGGACAGATGGAGAAATTGACTCTTTTGGCACCCCTAGAATTAACTAAGACGTTCAATGTAAAAGTGCTACAAGCAGCATTATAGTAAAAACCAAGGAATTCAATTGGAACGGATAAATAATGAAACCTCATTTGAAGAACTTCCACCCAAATCTTTGATGAGACCCTTTATTAATTCAAACAACACCTCAACCTGAATGGGAAGACAAATCCAGCTGCTGCGTCATAGACCCATTGGTTATAGGTAACATAACCGAAAGTAAATCAGTGAACATAGTACCTTGTCAGCGGTGGACACACATGTATCCCTTTTCATAATGTTTTCAATGATAATTTTTGCCATGATTTTATTTGTTCCAGCATCTAGGTGGTCCATGATTCGTGGATAGTTAGAGAGTGTTAGTGCTGTAACAATATCACTATACTTCTCTAGTGGAGCACTGAGGAGAGCAACAATTTGTTTTGTCGCTTTACTATCATTAAGCTTTGGTTTGCCAGAGAGTTTTTTAACACAGGCTCCCTGTCAATCATCAATAATATAAGCACAGATAAAATAGAAACTAAAATCTGTTTTAATTGTACAATGAAAGGAATTATAGATATCGTCAAGGGCTCAAACTCATTTAGATGAACTTGTTTTCGACTGTCTGTATATAATACGGAGTACTTGACAGTTATGTAACATAATTTTGCCAGATCAGCTCAGCACTTTTGGTTCAAATTGGATTCTTCCTTTTTTGAAAAAACAGAATAGTAAAGGAACATATAATACAGGTAGTCCAAGTCTCCATGAGTATATTAGAAAAGGTTGCCCAGTGTTGCATGAGTAGTTGAAGTAAATTACACAAGAGATGGGTAGAAGCACAATGCTATCATATTATGTGAGGGATTGTGGGTATCATAGCAATTAAAGGCCTCACTGCAAAAGATGTGGCAGTGACTTTAGAAAAGGTTGCCCAGTGTTGCATGAGTAGTTGAAGTAAATTACACAAGAGATGGGTAGAAGCACAATGCTATCATATTATGTGAGGGATTGTGGGTATCATAGCAATTAAAGGCCTCACTGCAAAAGATGTGGCAGTGACTTTGCATAAACCAACTACAGACCCATATTTTTTGCCCTCAAATATAAAAAACTTACCAGCACTTGATCCACGTAATCAAGCCGATCAGGATGTACACGAAGTGTAAAAGTCAAAAGAGAGACGTACAACGAAACAGCTCCAACTATAGGCATGTCAACTTGAGCTTCTACTACCTGCCATTTGAAAAACTGTTAATTTCTGGAAATGAAATATCAACAAGTGGCTACATTAATAACAAGCTGCATTTCCATACAAAAAGAACCCAGAACTCTTACATATAAGATCACTAAACTTTCAATAAATCCAAGTACCAGTGTACCACATTGAGAGTATAAGAAAACTTGACAATATCTTCACTTCTTGTATATAACATAAGTGTCAATAGTCACTACTGTGAATTTGCATTCATGTAACAGCAGAATAGCATGCTTATATGTAGAAAACTTAACCACAGGGACAACTATATGAATTCAGAAATTCTTTGGTTTATCCAAAATATCCAATAGTGGCTAATAATGAAGGATCTTTGGAGGCAAGAAAATAATGTTGAAGATGCAAGATGGACTTTGTATTGCCAACAACTTATTCATGCCAGAAAAACTAATAAACTTCAACAAAAAAGAAAAGTAAGACTTAGTCAACAGAATAAAAAGAACACAAAAGTAGGATTGCATTTGCATGAATTAATAGTTTAACTAATTTTAGATCATTAATGACAATACAAACTTTTTTTGGGATTAAGGTTTGGATGTTGTTGTTGTAATACCACTACAAACTTCATGTCATCGGTCCCAACATAGTTGGGATGAAGGTGCTCATGATCTGACTTACCTTCCAAATGGCGCTGCTCAACTTGGAAAATGCTTCGACTTGAAGGAACTCAGGTAAGACCTAGCAAGTTCAATGTGAATGCATGAAGAATAAGATTAGGAATGAGTACAACTTTTTGTAGAAGTGACGAGGCAAACTCTTACTTCAGGACTTGAAGTGGCATAGTTTGACAATCTATCCATCAAGCGTGATAAAACAGTCTTGATGTCCACAGCAGGCTATAATAAAAGAAATGTTATTTTATGGCTTATCATGTGAAAGTTATTAACAGCTGCATTAAACCCAAAGAACACTTCGGACATAAATGATAATCTGGTACATACTTGAAGTTGGGGACAAGCAGTCAATAGTATTTCAAGAGTCTGCAAGTGGTACTCATCAGGAAAGACCTGAATTATGCAGTCCATCAAATAATATTGTGCAAGCACTTCTTTACAGTTGACAACCTATGAGAAGCAATTCGTTAGCGCCTTATATATGACAAGATTGATATAATGCTTTGTATCACACAAACATTTGTACCGCATAATCATACCTGCTCCAACACTCGAGGAAGCACAGTTTCTTTATACATTTCAAGATCAACACCCTCTATCTGACTAAGGACATGCAAATTTTTCCCAACCTAAAATATAATTGGAATTGTTGTATATCATTAAGAAATTAAAGAAGTGGGACAAAAAGGTATTCAGTCATAAATATTACTAGATCTCGGAGCTCGCTCCGTTCCTTTTCCAGCTTCTCTTCAATCCTGGCAGGTCCCTGCAGACCAGAAAGCCCGAAAGAGGGCCTGAACTCAGGATCACCTAAGCAAATGAATGTATCACAAGCACTATAAGCCCTGCATGACCAAAACATGCTCTCATGATTCATTTTTAGCTTCCTAGGATGCAACCATGCAGATGCTATGCATGTGAGATGTGAAATCGAGTAAGAGACTGCCAGGATCTCCATTACCTGGTGTTGCATCCTAACCCATAGTTTATTCATCTCTGTGAAGTTTTGCAACACAAAATCTACAGCATCCATGACAGTATCACCTTCTCTGTGTGAAGAAAAGTGGTATAGCATCTCATCAACTACTAGCAACTTGGAAAAGAAGTAAAACAGCGAAGATAGTGTCCAAAAAATAATAACATTCTCTCTCTGCACCCTAGAATTACACTTCCTTGATTTATACAACAGATAAGGCATCAAATACTGACAGGTGCATACGAAATAGAGGCAATCAGAACTTTTACCCTTCATACTCAGAACCAATATCTAGCAATTCATCCCTGCTAATCTGAGCAAGATAACTCCTCAGGAAAAGTCCGCGTACAGGATGTTGAACAGCACGGCACATTTCAACAAGGTCTTTCAGTATATCCTTTGCAGGAGCCTCCTTTGATTTGATGTACACTGACCCAACAGTGCATAGGAGATACCTGACATAAGGCTACATTTTATTTAACTTACATAGTTATATATGCTCTGGCACATTGAAAGACACCAGATTCCTTAACTAGGCAACTAGCATATCATGACCAAAGTCTAAACAAACAAAACCATTAATAGGGTAATGGTAGGAGTAAGAAAAAGGATAAAAGTAACAACTAAGGAGACAAATCCAACACTTTTTGTTTGTCAAAAGAATTGCTATATTTTTCCCACAAGGTAACAAAAGGATTTCTGCATTTCAATCTCCAGAAGGCCAAGGCAACACTTAAGATACATGGCAATGAGCAAACTTGGTAACATGAAAATATAAATTTTATCTAATGCTATATCAAGTCTTGTGTTTAGCACAAAGACAAAACTACCACAAATAATTCTTGGGTCTCTGGCACTTTTTCTTTCAAAATGGGTAGTAACTAGTAATATCATATTAAGCAAAAGGACCATGCATGTCTATTAAAAGCATGCTTTTGTGTCGATAGAACTAATAAATATATCTGGGTTGATGAGACTAACAGTCTAGGTAAAACATTGCCGGCGTGTTGGACAAGTTCGTATAAGTCAACAATTGAGCAGCCATGGCGATCCTCATCCTTAAAGAAAAGCTCCAGCTTCCTTAACTCGTCAAATGCTCGCATGTCTGCCAATATTGTACAGAAAAAGACAGAGAATTTATGATATGAAAACAAAAAACGCAAAGAAAAAGATGATCAGTAGATTTACAGAGCTCGTAGTATTTATGCGGCGGAAGACGCGAGGTTCTCAGTTCAGATAACAATTGAGCGGAATACTTGAGAGCTTCTCTGAGATTATCCGAATCCTGCGGTTGAGTGAGCGGAATTGTAGTTAGCATGAGCAGGTTAGGGTTCTCGAAATGATTATTTGATTGATACCATAGCTCGATGCAAGTAGAAGGCGTTTTGCTGAATTCCTGCGATGCCCTCGGCAAGCCATTTATCTTCGTCTTCGATTCCGTCTGCTATCATCCTCTCCCTCGGGCTGCCACTCGGGTCTCAAGCTGAACTTCAAGATTCAGTTTCTACAGGTGAGGACAACTCAGCAAGCCATGTGTTGTGAACATACTCCGTACTCCGGCCTAATAATGAAGCTACGTTTGGTGATTGTTCCTTTCCACGTTTTAACTTTTACAGCACAACAAAAAAAGTAAGGAACATTAATAGACTATAATTAAGGTATGTTTGGCACTGAAAAATACTTTTACAGATTTTTTAGTAATCGTTAGCTTTTAATGACGGAAAAGATCTTAAAAGTAAAAGGTGGTAGCTGTTTGGTAAAAAGTTGACTGTTTGGTTTAGTTCTGTTTAGTATACAAGCTGTTGGGACTAATTAATGCTAAAAGACACAGACTTTTCTCAAATGCTACTCTTAGCATCTCAAAAAAGATCTTTTATTTTTTGAAAAACTCTTAAAATTTGTCATACCAAACATATAACTAGAAGTTTTTAGGGACTTTTTAAATAGTACAAAAACTAGAATGCAGAGATTTATATCTCCCAAACATAGCCTTATATTCCGTAGAATAATAGAGAGATGACATTTATCTGACCAAATCAAACCAGTTCAAATCATACTATACTTAACCAGACTATACCAGTCAATTTCAGTTCAATTAAAAACATTCTTTCTTTGTTGTGATACTTAAAGCATTAAATGACGTATAAACATATAAAATAAGTTATTACAATATAAAAAGTTATTCTAATAAAATAATTTTATATTTATGACTAAAATAGATGATGTTTACAAAAGTGTGACATCTCTGTTATAGTGACTATAAGAATAACGTTAGTCATATTAACGTATGTTCAATTTTTACAGGTGAGTGATCTAACATTATAATTAGGAGAATTCTACGGCGCTTGTTAAATTACATGGGTTTCAGTACCCGGGATTTTTTCACCAATAACCTTCAAGAATTGTGCCACATCACCGTAGTTATCATAATTAACTACTACTTGCAATTAAGTCCTCGACAAAGCCACACCACAATAGTTATGCAGGCTTTTGAAATGGAAGCTGAAATTAAAAAGAAAACAGTGCATCGTCCCCTAAGCTCCTCTCCAACCGACTTTGGGGTTGTTTGGCAAATAGCTTATCATCCGTTTTTTAGCTTGTTTGACTCAAAATAGTTGTTTGACTATCATAAAACGTCAAAAATCTTGTTTGGTGATCAGCTGATTCGTTCGGTTGATCATACGAAGAAGCCGAAATTTGAAAAGCTGGCCCAAGCAGCGTTTAGGTCATATTTTGGCTGATCCATTTTTTTTTTGTCGTTTATACCCTGGTATACATAAGACATCACACCACACATCTCCATTCTGTTTCTCAACCATCTTTCTTCTTCTCCAACTACAAACAAAGGTACGTAACTTCTTTCTTGATTTTTCCTTCTCTTATTTTTTCCCATTACTTTGTATTTTCCATTTTTCCTTCCTCTTCGGCGATGTTATTCTATTCTACATCAACTGTCTGTTCCCCTCATCGACCCCCCCCCCCTCTGTTTTCTTTTCTTTACTTTGTTGCATGTCGTATATGTGTGAGGTCTACTTTGTATTTTCCATTAATTTGCATTTGTGTCCTCTTGAGTTGCCTGATACTTTTTGAAATGTATATCAGAAAACAATATGATACCAAAATAGGAGAAAGTGTCAAGGAAGAAAGATCTTCATTCCTTCACAAGACTCCAGCCCAGGTATTCCGAAAATGGGAATCACTCATATATATGTGTGTGTGTGTGTGTGTGTGTGAGAATATAATCTTAGGAGAGTAAAAAAGAATAGATTTCCACCGTTGGATGATCTTCTAAATAACCGTGCGTCTAAACCCAAGTAGAGGGTAATGAAGTCAATTCATTTTGTACGTAATTAGAGTGCCTAAAATCACGCTGCATGATTCCTTCCATAACCGTCTCTCCCTGATTCTTTCCAAACCTATCATCGATCTTCCTCCTGCGTCGTTCTTCTCTCCCTCTGCGTATGTATTGATCGAAATTAACGTATTGATCAGATTATTCCACTTGCACCGTTCTGCTATTTTTTCCATCGGTTGCGGGTTTTCTTCTGCAGCCTATCTTTCTTCAATGGAGTGCAGTAAGTATCATTTATTTGATTTTGCTCATTGTTTGTAGTCTCCAAGTGTTATGTTCGTGGTTGAATTTACGTGTGAATATTATTATTATTTTTTTGATTGACATACTATACAAATTAGACTTGTTGAAATTGCACTAAACTAATTATTAAGTTTCCAGATTTGCGCTAACAATTAGTGCACCTACATTGTTATGTGATGCATCTACGTGTTTGATATGGAACACTTTCATGATAGCTATCGATTTGATTTTCATATAGTAATAAAGATGGTTTTATATTAAGTTTTTGATGCACTTATCATGCTTTGATCATGCACTTTCATTAGTTTTTACTATTTCACTTTTTTGCATATATGATGCAGTGCCAATAAAGCAACGGTGATCCATTTGGAAGAAAAAGTGCATTTTGTTTTGTAAAAATGTCAACGTAAAATGGTAGAAAGTTTGTTATAATAGTGCACTTTTGTATTATATCAAATGCACATGATATAAGTCAATTTCATTCTATAAGACGGGTGTATCTAAAACTTTTGAAAATGTGATATAATGTTGCACTTTTGTATACATTATTTGTATCTAAGTTTTGAAAGTATGATGTGATAGTGCATATTTGTCTTATTCTAAATCCACGTAGTTGATAGTTTAACTCTTGTATATTTATATTAGTTTTTTGGCAGAAATGTATGGATGTGTCGAACTAAATGCTTGAAGTGTATATTAATGTTTTCAAAGTGCAAACTAATAACATTAGTGTAGTTTACAACACTCCAAATTAACCTAATAAACTTGTATTTCCCTGTAGGTTGCAAATATATCTAAATATGTAACTAAATTGATGTTGCAGTATGTTTCAAATAAAAGTGCAAGTATTCAATATTTAAGTGCAAATACACAAAATTAAGTAGATGAAATATTGCCTCTGAAAAGACGATAAGACGTGAAAAATGCACAATTCGAATAATTTTTTTTTATCAAATTACTCATCCGAATTATATGTGAGATAATACTAAATTTATTTTGGAAAGGAAATTAAAATAATGGAATATATAAGAGGGAGGTACGTTACTCCCTATTAATTATTGCCTACTTTTTAGGATGAATTCCTATTATAGTGCTACATACGTATTAATGCTTGAATGAAATTTACTATGATGCCCCTTATTTAATTTTGACTTGGAGAGTTGCCATATATGAGAGCCTAATGATCCGAAGCTAGTAATAATTTCGAAAAATGCTAAGCCATTAGATCAAGTTAATTTAAGGTTGGATATCATTCTTTTTTCCTCTCCTAAGAGGGTGTTCTCACAGGAACCAACCCCTAAATATATATATATATACACACACACACACACACACATATATATATATATATTCAAACTTTATTTGAACAAAAAAAGTCTTTTTTAGATTGTGTATTGTGAATTGATTTTAATTTTTAAGCTTGATATGTTGGTGATTTCTTTTGGGTATTGATGTTTGAGTGAGCTAACTTTGCAAGTGAATTATTGTTGTGAATATTAGGCAGCTTGCTGCTTGTGGTATTGATGTTTGAGTGAGCTAATCTTTACTAATATGTTTCTGATTTTCTACTTGCCCAAAAGGTGTTTGTTAAAATGCTTGTGAGCAATTAGTTTGTTGTTTGGTTGCATCTGTTGCACTTTTATACTCACAGGGCTGTTTGTTTGGTTCAGCCCACCTAAGCAGTTCCATAGTTAATCTATTGTATGCAATTTTCATGTCTGTAAATGCTTGTAAAAGAGATCCAATAGCACTTTTGGGTCTACGAAAAAGAGACAGCATAATGATATTCTGTTTGAATAGGAGTATTATTTTCTATTTGAATCTATTATGTACTCAAGAGGATAACACTAATTAGAATTGATCGGGAGCTGTACCTTGTTGTTATGTTCTTTTCTGAACCCGACGATGGAATATTTGTCTCTATATTTTATATCTTAATGAAGCAATTTTAAGACATACCAGGGGTTCATTCATGTGATTTTGTGAGGGAGGACGGTGGAGTCACCTGAAATGGTTCATATAGGAGGACTTCAGGGTTGTGAAAAAGCTATTGATAAATGATTGTGTAATGCTTAGTATTCTAGTGGTTATGTTTAAGTTTTCTCTTGCTAAAGTTCATTGTTTCCATTTCATTTGACTCTCCTTGGTATGGTATAACAAAATGTAGTCATCAAACAAAAAGATAATGCTTCAGTTTTGGCTAGGATTGAACGTCTATACTTATGGTATGTGCTTGTGATAGGTTGCCTAGACCAAAAAGTGTTACTGCATCTCTTTGCAAGAGGATAAGATTCAGAAGATCAATAGAAAATGCTTGTAAATGTTATTTGTGTTTTAATATGTTTAATAGTATCTTTTCGTATGTATTTGGTTTATTAAAGTGCTTGTAAATTGAAAACTGTTTTGTTAATACATTGTTAGAAAATTTTCTTTCAGTTATAACAATTTTTTTACATATATGTACTTCGTTATTTTGAGTTTTAGATGGCTCCTCTACGAAAGAAAATTGTAGATGATTCTCAAAGCGGTGAACATGAAAATACAATTGAAAACAAAGAAGGACGAAAAAAGTAAAGGAAAAAATGGTGGAGTTGTATCTCAAAGATTGGTGTGGAAGAAAATTGAGTTGGATTTTCTAAAGGAGACTAAGTTACCATGGGATAAAATGAAATTGAAAAACAAGCTTGATTCGATGAAGAAATGGTGGAGCTTGTGGAAACATTTGAAGGGAGAAGAAACATGCTTGGGATGGGATCATGTGAAGGGAACTATAAGTGCTTCTAGTGATTGGTGGGCTCTAAAAATACAGGTTGGTTCTATTTAGTCAAATATGTTAGTACAATAGCCTGAATAGAAATACAACATTTGTTCAAATTTTTTAATAGGAAAATTCTAAGTTTGAATCATTTCAAGACAAAGGAATTGAGTCTGAGCTTGAATAGAAAATGGATCAAATCTTTGCAACGTCCGTCCAAGGAAATCTAAAGTACACTCCAGGAAATATCATCTCAGAAGAAGATTTGCATGTGGATGTTGATGATGTTTATACCCCTTCCCTACCTACTGATATTCATCATGATATTGGTGCTGGAGAGGAAGAGAATAATGAGGGTGGAAACTGGACAACTAATGCATCATGGGATGATTTGTGGTGTGAGCTCACAAATTGAAAGAGATGACAGAAGGAAAGGTAAGAGGCCACTCGAAGGTGATTCATCACAAAGCAGTAAAAGTGCCAAAACAAATCAAAGAAAAAAAACAGGGATGGCGACATTTCAAGAAATGTTTGGTGGCATGATGGAAGTGATTTTGAAAAGGGGTGAATCAATCAACGAAATTACTAATTTAATGAAAGATATGATTAAAGCCAATTCAAGTAAGAACACTTCAGAATACAGTATTGGAGAAGCAATGACAAAACTGTGTTGCTTGGATGGTCTATCTACCACTTCTCCTGAGTTTTTCTTTGGTTGTTCAATGTTTGAAGATCCGCAACGACGAACAATTTTCTTTTGTTTACCGGATGACAAAAGTAGGGTTGAGTACATCCATTTTATGTACAATAAGTCAGGGAACTAAATTTTTTTGGATGTTTATGAGCTTTTACCTTAGACATTTAATTCTGTTATGCTCGTTGGAATGTTAACTACTTCCTCTTTTAAACAATGTTGGAATATTGTGAACTTTAGATATCTTATTTTCTTATGTTATAATTTGTATTATTTACTACTCCGTATATTATATTATTGCATATTGCATCATATATTTTTACTTGTATAAATGTAGGTATGGATAATGGCAATATGGAAATGGCACAACTTCTTTTATGCTTAGAGTATTTGAGCAAAGAAGAAGAATTCTTGGATATGGTTGCTTGTGTATCTACATGCCTTAGTTCCTGTTTTGTGAGCCATTTATACAAAGTGTTTTAATGAATTATTGAGTGGTCATGATAAAAGGTGTTTTAATGCCTTTCACTACTACAAGAATGATATACCACGTCATACATTTGACCACGTCATACATTTGACGACGTTTTTCAGAAAACCGCCTTAATAGGAGACTTATGAACTTTTTAACAGGAGAAATGTGGATCAATGAATTATTGAGTGGTCATGATAAAAGATGTTTTAATGCCTTTCACTACTACAGGAATGATATACCACGTCATACATTTGACGATGGTTTTCAGAAAACCATCTTAATAGGAGACTTATGAACTTTTCAACGACGGTTCTAGAAAAAACTGACGTCATAGGTTGTGGAGAAAAAGATCCGCGCAAGTTTTTTTCTATTTGAATACTTATAAAGCCGGTTTCACAAAAACCTACCTAAAAATGTACTTCTTGGCCGGCCTTGAAATAAAAAATAAAAGGAATCGCAAACCCTTCTTCTCTCCACGACTCCCTCTTCTCTGCGCTCATCATCTTCTTCTCTCCACGAATCTGGTTCATCTTCTTCTCTCAGCTGGCAAAACTCCATCGATCTTCTGCGAAAACTGGTAAGTTATTCTATTGACAATATTTCCACCAGATTTCTTCCACTTGACCTTCTCGATTCCGGGACGGAGCCGCACGAGGGGGAAGTCTCATGCCCAATGAGCGGCATCCGTACTCACCTGGTCGGTCTTCAGTAGGGAGGCTGCACTCTTGGCAGCTAGGAAGGCTGCATCTCTACTGCCACTCACCTGGTCGGTGTTTATCAGCCAGACGAGTTGAACGAACGACCTGTACAGTTTCTTGTTCGGTATTTTTCCTATCCTGTTCTTATATGATTGAATTTCAAGAATAATGCTTATGCTCCTACTTTAAAAATAAATTTTTATTTATCTATTTATATATATGTATATTTATATATACATGCACGCAACCTATAGCTTTTGGCTCTGTGGAAGAGATATCATGGATGATTATGGGTTTTTATAACCCTTTTTATCTCAACTTTTGATGCATTTGTGTAATGATTTAAGGATGACATTGATGACTGCATATCTACCCTAGTCAAGGAGAAACAAGGTTATTGCACTTTTTACCTTCTTTTCATTGAAATTCCTTTAAATTTGAACTTGATTAAGCGCTTTATTGTAAATGTGCTTCTCAATAATGTGTTTTTTGTTAGTTTTAATCATCTTGTGTAGTTTTTCAGGTAACCTTATCATCATTGTCATTTTTTGCAGCTAAGGTCTTCTTGGCTATCCGGAAAGAATCCAAGCTCATCTACTCCTTATTATCATTTCAAACTTTTTGTTTGTTTCCAGATCGAAGTAAAAGATGCCAAATGCTATTGAGGCTGCTTGAAAGTAAGATTATCTAAAATGCTTTTTGTGTTCTCCACATTTTGTTAAATACAGAAATTGATTTAATTCACTTGTTGACTTCCTCTTTTGATATGAAAGTTCAATTAACTTAAATCCTTTGGGCAAGCTTCATGAATACTTAGGTGACTTTTAATGTTAAATTAACTCATACCAATACAAGTCATTTATGCCTTTTGCTCTCTGTGGCCTGCATTTCAGGGATTTAGATTTTCATCCTCAAAATGCAGTTGTGATATCTGGGGCAGAGGCATCTTAGATTATACTTTGAGCTATATTCTTAAAACAAGTTTGAATAAATGTGTAGTAAATATCAAGTTTTAATAATGGTAAATTCTACACACAATCACAAAGAAGTCGAAAACGGGGATATTAAATGTATAATTAACTTAGTATAGATATGGCGAATAATTTAACTGTAATGATCTTCTGGGACTTCATCGGTTTTGAGTTATGAGTATGTAATCACACTCCTTGATATTAAAAAATTAAAGTTGTCATTTATTATGCACTAAAGTGCTTTCTTTCTTGTAGATTCTAAAGAAACTTGGATAACTTGACATATGTTGGGGTGTTCATATTGAAAGGTATCGTCTCCTATTGTTGCTGCTATCCATATATGGCTTTCACTTCATTAGGCTGTTACAAAGCAATGAGTTTTATTTCTTGGTGTTACAAAGAATGTTAATTTTCATAAGCGCATGGTGTTCCTCTTGTGCTAAAAGTTAGAGAATGTGGATATGCAAGTCACCAGTGAAAGTTGGATTTCATGCATTGGAATGTTCAAGTCACTGTCTGTCTTCTACCCTCACCGAAGAAAAAGGATTGTAAGTTTCAATTTTCGTTTGAATGTAAGTTTATTTTACATTTAGGTTAAAGCAAATAAAATGAAAATAGATTTGAAGATTTCATAATTTACAAGAGCTGCCTTACCATAATCTAAAAGTTTGTACCTTGATGAACCAAAACTATTTTTTGGGACAGGGAGTATTTATTACAAAGTATATATTACACTATGTCCCAAATATAAGGGACATTTGCTTTTAGCACAATTTTTAATGAAAGCGATATCATTTTACCAAGCTCTCCGTCAAGTGTAACCAATCATTTCAATCATTTAAAAGAAAAGAAATAGAAAGGTGAATTGGAAAATGTACAAAGTTAGTAGTTGTTGATGTGCTCTTGCCCTTGTCATGTGTGGTTGATGTGTTGTATAGGCCTTGCCCTATACGTTTTCTGATTTTGGTTGAATCCGAAGTACTCTCAAATATGGCATCGAACAATTTACTCTTCAATTAATTGAGCTAGGTGCTTAAGATAGGCTATAAGATATTAAGTAACAATTCCTCTAGTTCCTCTAGGTTTATTACCGTTTCTTAGAAATAAAGTGCTAAGTGCTATATAATGGACGTTTCTTATTGGCCAGGATGCTTGTGAGATGGTGGTGACAATCTGACTTGACGGTCCAACAGGATAATACTATTCCTAGTCCAAATGAGCAGCCTTTCTTGGTACTATACTATTTCTCTTTTATCTTTGTAATTATCTATGGGCCACACACTGTAATTTGTGCTCTTGGTGTTTGTATCAGAACATAAACAAGTCTCTAAGTATTTCACTTTTTTATTTTTTATAAAATTATATTCAACGTCGTTTTTGTTAAATAACCGACGTAACATGTATTTATTTTATTTTTAAAAAAATATATGTAACGTCGGTTTTTTATAAAACCGATGTGGAAGGTAACTTTTTACGTTGGTTTTATAACCGCCGTTATAGGGTCTAACCTATAATGTCTCTCACTTACACGTCGGTTCCAGAACCGACGTTATATGTTCCTTCTATAGTAGTCTTTGGAATGCATCAAGAAACATTTCGCCATTTATGCTTTGATCTAGAAAATAAGTATGGCTTAAGACCTTCATATAGGATATCAGTTTTGGAGAAGGTCGGATTATTTGTATTTGTACTAAGCAAAGGAGCTTCCAATAGAGATACTCAAGAGTGTTTTCAACATTCTGGTGAAACGGTGAGTAGAATTTTTAAGGAAGTCTTGAGCGCGATTGATGGATTTTCAAGAGATTTAATTGTACCAAAAGATCTAGAATTCAAGAATGTTCCAATACAAATTGGTAATGATGAGAGGTACATGCCTCATTTCAAGGTAAAGAATACAATACTGAGCACCTATCATTTTAAAATAATTCATTGTGTGTGTATATATCACAATTCTCTAATTCTTACCTTTTAATCCAGAATTGTATTGGAGCTATTGATGGTACACATATTGCAATAACGGTTCCTGAAGAGGATCAATTGCGCTATAGGGGAGGGAAAGGGATACCGACTACAAATGTATTAGCAATATGTGGCTTTGATTTATTATTCACATATGTTTTGACAGGTTGGGAGGGGCCAGCTCATGATTCACGCATTTTCTTAGACACAACCAACAATCCAGCTCTAAAATTTCCGAAGCCACCAAGAGGTAAATCCATATACTTTTGTTTTGCTTCTCAACGAAGTCATTCACATTTATTTATAATCTTCATACCTAACTTTTCATCATTGTAGGAAAGTATTATTTGGTGGATAAGGGTTATCCTGAAAGAGATGGATATTTAACTCCCTACCCCAAGACGAGGTACCATCAGTCAGAGTTCCGTGGTGCAAATTCGAAAGGAGTTCAAGGGATTTTTAATAGAGCACATTCCTCTTTAAGGAGTTGTATCGAGAGAGCTTTTGGTGTTCTTAAAGCTAGATGGAAGATATTGCAAAAAATGCCAAGATATTCACTAATGGATCAAAATAAGATAATTTGTTCATGTTTTGCATTGCACAACTACATCATGAGAAGCACAGTAGTTGATCCATGCTTTAAATTTATTGATGAGGATCCTGAATTCATACCTCTGGATGTATTTGAAGATGTTGAAGGGGGTGCTGCACAAACTGATGCAAACATTCGAAGTCAAGAAATGAGAGTTATCCGTAATAATATAACTTCTAGCTTGATGGAAGCTAGACACATTCATAAATAATTTTGACCATCTTTAGTTTATTTTAAGTTAAACTAAGTATGTCAAATGTTTGAGACGTGGTTTTACTTTTTATTAGTATTAATGAATTGTTTGAGACACGTGATTATTCTTTTTTATAATTGACGATATTGATGTTTTTTTGCAATATAAAGTCATCTTATTTCTTTCTAAAAGATTTATTCGTTAAGATTAATTATACTTTTATTTTAAAATTTAATTTATTCTTTTAACATTTCAAATAAAATACGGAGTATTGTTTTTCTTAAATAATTTATTTTGCAAGTAAATTATAGTTTTAACATTATTAGCACTATTATCATTACTCAAATATTATATACACACTCATGTCCTTATACGTCTTTTTACATTCTTTTTACCAAACATTTATTAAAAACAAGCTAACATAACCAGCCAATCAAAATAGCTAACACAACCAGCTGTGATCAAACAACTAACATAACCAGCTAACAGCTATCAGCCGATTGCCAAACAAGGCCTTTGTTGCAAAGAAAATGATGGCATCCCCTACGATTCTACCGACGTTGCTGAAGAAAAAGAAAACATCAGTAAATCTAACCCTCTCCGATGTTAATTTTATGTCTTATGAAGAAACCTATTTTGATAGTGCAATTAAAAATTTGATTGGGAATCTCTTTGTTTTTCTTCTTCTTTGTGATTAAGGGTAAACATAGAAACGTTAAAATAAGAAATTCAATGACAGGGATATTTCTTGTAGATTGTAATTCATGTAAGAAAATTGCAATTGGTCCATGCTATCAATTTCAAGTTGTTGTTTTCTAGCAGCTTTATTACCATTTTCTTCTTTAGCCTCCTTTTTCATTTTCAATACCACATCTGCTCTTTCAATAATGGATGAATCATTTTCAGCATTATCCCTTTCGTTGTTGATATGTGTCTCATATATTCTACGTAGTAAGTAATTTACTATTTTATTTGATTGCTTGATTAAGAACTCGGGGTTTACTTTTATTTCATAAGTTGATACTTAATTATGTAGGGCTCTTAATATCAATAAAGGAAAGTGGAATTGATAACGCTTCTGTATTTAGATATAGACTCTGGAATTGAAGTTGAAAGAATGCTTGGTGGTGGTCTGGTGGACTTGTTCCACGTAATTAGTAGTTATGAAGCTTATCTTTTACTCTCCTTTTGTTACAAATGTTTAGGGGTTTAGGGGACTTAATATCAAATGATCAGTGTATCCTCCTTCTGCTAAATCGCAGCTACACTTTGTGAAGGGAATAATACATGGTACTTTATAATTAGTTCTTTGATGATACACTTCCTTCTTCCTTGTTGATTATATTGTACTTGCAATGTGTGTTTTGGCGATGTTAGTGTACATTGTGGAGCAAATGTTCTTCTAGTCTTTATATAATGATATCCCTTTGCACGAATGTTTATATTTAAACACTGCCTCATTAAAAAAATATTACTAGGAGTAGAGTAATGTAAATTAATACCAATATAGTGGTTATGTAATACTATAAGATACACAATCGGATATAAAACCAAGTTCAAGTTATCATAGTAGAGGGAACACATTTATCTCTATATTATTATTTGTATTGAAAGATTATTGAAATCTTCTTATACAAACCATAATGATATTTGACAAATGAATAAATGTGATAGTTTAGTAGCTGTTAATTTGGACGAAGAAAGGGAATTACATTCAAGTGATAAACAAGAAGACGATGCCACTAATGATGAATCTCGTAGTGATGAGGATAGTGCAAAAGTGAATGTTGAAGAACGTGAATTTAAAAGGATTTCAGACTTGACACGCGATGATATATGTGCATTAGAGCTTTGAGGGTGAAGAGGAAGCTTATGAATTTTACAACAAATGTGCTAAGTGTCATGGCTTTGTGGTAAGAAAACATGACTTGGGTCGTAACAATAGGAAAAATGTCACTATGCGACATTATGTATGCAATAGGCAAGGTTTACGAAACCCAAAATATTTGATAACGACTGATGAGAAAAGAACACATAGACCCCTTACCCAAACAAATTGTCGTGCAAGGTTCAGTGTTCGTTATAAGGCGATAAAATCATATTGTATAGTTACACATATTGAATTAACCATGAATTAACACCTTCAAAATATGTGCACTTGTTACTTGTTTATCGTAGAATAGCAGATGCACATAAACCGCAAATTGATACCTGCACAAGAATGCTTGTGAAAATGTGAAGATCTCTACTTTTTTGAAGGATTTCAAAACAATGATATATGCAAATTTTACGCGTGAGAGATTTGAGCCCTTTTGGAACAATATGGTTGTGCAACATGGACTTGCGGGGAATAAGTGCATTTTTAAAACCTATTATAATAGATCTTTGTGGGTCACTGCATATATGCGATATCAACTCTTTTGCCATTTACGAACTACATCATAATGTGAGTCCATTAATGCGATCATTAAGCATATATTAGGAAAAAGTGCAGTTTTTTCGAGTTTATGCATAATTTTGAGATAACTCTAAGAGAGTATAGAAACAATAAGTTTGCTGTTGAATTGAGGTCTATATATAATACACTTGTCTTAACGACATCACTTCAAAAAATCGAGGAGGATGCTGCATTTTTTTTGCATATGAGATATTTCAAGAAGTTAAAGAGCAGATCGTATTGGGTTGCGCATTAATTGTTAAAGAGCGAGTGGTAAATATATGGGGAACAATTCATATTTTGAATGATGAAATAATATGATCCTAGTTCATAAACTAAAGTTGTTTATCATGCTTCAAGGCTAGAATTTTCTTGTGCATGTAGACGCTTTGAGTCTCGTGACGTTCCGTGTTTACATATTTTTTGTGCTATGAAGGAGGAACATATGGACCATATTCCACATCATTTGACTTTAACTCATTGGACTAAAAATGATTGTATGGCATCATCGTCATTTCAGTCTATGAATATCGATGCCACAGAGATTGCTCGTTTTGGGGCCTATAGTGTTGCTTGTATGAGGTTTTTGCAAGATTGTTGAAAAATAGTGGATTGTTGGAGATGAATAAGTTAAGTGATGTGAGTGGCGCAAATGATTCTTCAGTGAAGCACGTAGGTGACCCAAATACGGTGAAGACTAAAGGAGCTCCAAAAAGAAAAAACCAAGTATGAAGAGGTTGAGGCATTGCTCAAACTGTGGTAGTACAAAACACAATGCTAGGACATGTAAGAATAATAAAGGTGACCAAGATGATGATTTGGCTCATTCAGATTATTCACAATTTAGCACGGGTCTCATCGTGTTAATATCTTATAAATGAAAAGTTGATATATGGAAGTGTAATTTATTTCCTAATAATTTTAGAACAATGTTTTTATTTATTTTTTTTCCTTGTTTAATCCCCCCCATTGAATTACAAGAGGTGGAATGCAAAATCAAGATTTGAAGTCAAACAATACAAAGGATAATGACTATGTAATTAGAAAAGTTTTGCCCATGTGCGACTATTTATCAATATTATATAAATACTTGAATAAATGATGCAAACTACTAGTTGATGGATAGTGCGCCCGGGGATAGCTTATCCGAGGGGTTATTGCGGGAATAACCTGGACAGAAGTCAAGGCAATAAGTAAGAGAGGGAAAGTGTATTCGAATATATCAACTTGTGATGCTTTACAATGGAGAATGGGTTGCTATTTATAGTAGTAATAAATGCTAGGCAGGGACACGTGTCGAAAATCTGACGGCCGATGGTCACCTCAATCGGGGTGGCACCGACATTTGCATGTGCACCGCATTAAATGCGGTGGGTGGATGTGACACTGCATTTAATGCGGCGGTTGCATGTCTTTAAAGGGAATCTTCGATGATTGCACTGTAGTCGAAGGCTCCTCTATGGACGAGGGCTACCCTGTGACCGAGGGCTGTCCTTATGCCGGGGGCGTGCATGAGTCAAAGGCTCCTGATTTCCATCGTCTTCTCCTAGTAGATTTGTATGTCTAAAATCAGTTGTCCTAAGAGATTTTGGAGCCTTCGGCCATGGGGCCGAAGGCACCTGTACGTGCACCATGGGCTTCTTGATACTTGGGCCGCTACTCTTTGGGCCTCTTGTGCTTCTTGGACCTGTTGGGCCTGTGTTAGAGTAGTAGGAGCCTGTGGTCCGGGCGTCCCAGGTCCATATACTCAATCAGGAGTCCCTCACTCCTTTTGCCGAAAGGTACTTGAGGGAAAATGAGTAATTTGAGTTTGTGCTGTGGTGCTGGTGTTTGCTTCGTTGTAGTTCGTAAAGTAGTGAGAGGTTTGTGTTGCGTGATTTGCCAAAGGCAGTCCTTCAGCCCCCCACATTGTGGCATTGAAGGATTATGTTGGTGCTGTGGGAAAACTTTTAAGTTTTTGTGATTTTCCTGAAGGGGTTCTCAAGTCCCCCACTCCTTAAGGCACATGTAACGGGGTGAAAAGGAGTAGTGTGGTGCATGTCTTCACTAGAGAGCCGAGGGCTGACGTCTTTTGCTTCATTTTGGGGAGATGCCTCGTTAAAACCTCATTAGAAAAAACCGTGTGGGAAAAAATCTTAATGAGGGAAAAAGAGTGCACCGGATGCCCCATAATGAAGTAAAAAGCCGAACCCTTCGGTCTGAGATGAAGGATACTGTTGAGGCTGAGGGCCATTTATAATATGTGGAGTACCCCCAAGTCCCCAAGCAGCGAGGGCTGAGGGCTCCCGAGGGGTTATCCCTGATATTCCTGCTGGGGGGCTAACCCTTGGTGAAGGGGTTTGAATGTGTTGTCCCGACTCCCGAGGGCTTGCTTGTTGTTCGTCTGGAGGGTGTCTGCTGAGGGCATCATGAGGGGTCAAAACTAGCCGTTGGGACGTGACCGTTGGGATATAACCGTTGGAATATGACCGTTGTAGGTGGGGTCCGCGTGGCGTGCTCCCGTCGGCTGGCTTCGGGCGAGCGTCACCGGTTGGCTGAGGCGACGGTCCACAATGATGCGTTTTGTAACCGGGGGCCCAGTTCTCGGCCCAAGCCCGAAATGGGGAGGCTATAAGTACCCCAAGGCCGGATCCACTTCCCTTGTACGATTTGTTGTAGCGAAGCTCTGCCGAAATTTTTCTAGAGAGAGAAAGAGTCCAGTTCGATCAAAACCAAGTACCTGAGGCCAGTTCTTCTTCCGTTCTTCCTACTTC